TACTTGTACATTTTTGTGTTTTCATGTTTGCACCCCTAACATTTAACGTCATAATAAATTTTAATAAATATATCACCGATTTTTTATAGAGTCGGCCAATCAAAAAGCATCTATAGATTTCACGGATCACACACGATTGCCTTCACTGGTATCTGAAATGTCTACTAATACATCACGCCTCGATTTTGAGGTAACTAGGTCAACCTTAACTTCTACAGAATTTCAACAAAATGGGGATGAAGATAAAGATAAGAAATGTTTTATCATGTAAGATCGAGACCTAATACTGTAGATTAAGTATGCCAATCCAGTCTATGGAATGGTATTTATTTCGACGTAGGATTGTATCTATCCTTGCTTTTAGTGATTGTAGTCAACGAAAAACTTATAAGCTTAGCCGAGTCGATAATTTTGATATGGCTAAGCGGATTTAATCGTTATCTCAAAAAATTAAGTCTGCCAATAATATTTTTTTTACAGGGCAATCTTCAAAATACTTAGTCGGAATTCATTGGAGTTGGGTCGACATTAAGTAATATCACCAGACTGCGTCTGTAGCAAAATTATCAGCTGGGCGGTTTTATTTAATGAACAGACTATGATTTCATTAGTGAAATTTCGAGCGATTATTAGGCAAATTTTGTAAATCCGGCCCGGCTGACTACGATTCTAATGTATTCCGACTTGTATGAGTTGCCACTAATAAATTATAATCCGGAAATTACCGCTGGCTATGTTCGTATTTTATGTCATATAACGTGTTGTATATATAGTTCACGAAGTTAAAAAAAATAAAAATAGTAATAATAAAATAAACCGATATACGTCGTTACGTAATATTTAAAAAAAAAATGTTATGTAATATTCTTAAAGCTGATTGCGATCCGTAGTGATGTAAATGGTCGGCTCAGAAACGAACCGTTACTATAATCAATGAGCCAACGCTGATAGACGGTCGGTGACATGGACATGTCCATGGACAAAAGCACCAGTATAACCAATAATCGAGGGGGCAGTCACATGATTTTCCGACCTAAGACCTTCCGGAAAGTCTTCAAATTTTTTGTTTTTTGCTGTTTTTGGGAAGAATTTGGTTTACAATTTTATTATTATTATTTTTTTTTTTAAATAGAAACGGTTACTAGTTATGACAAATATTGAAAAAATTTGTGAATTTCGAATGATATTGCAAAGTGTAGGTAACGGGTAAAAGAAATATCAAATAATAAATAAATAAATTCTAAAGCAGAAAACAAAATTAATACCAATAAACAATGCCAATTAAGTAATAGTGAACCATGTATGTATTAAATTTTTGCAAAACAAAGATCAGTAAAAATATTCACTTCTAGAAAAAAAAGTTATATTGTGTTTTTTCTTAAAGTTTGTATTTATTTATAGTTTGTTTTTGCTATACAAATATGAATATAAACATAGTTGACTTTCTTTACAGTGAACTAATAAAAATTTTTAAAAGTTTTTTATATAGTAATTTACTATTTCTACACCAAATCCTATAATAAATTGTTTTAAAAAATTCATTCTAAGTTATAAAAACTCATAAAAAAGTTTGTTGAAAAAGTTTAGTATAAAAAAAGTTTGTTAAAAAAGTTTGGTATAAAAAAAGTTTGTTGAAAAAGTTCGGTATAAAAAAGGTGATATATTTATTAAAATTTATTATGACGTTAAATGTTAGGGGTGCAAACATGAAAACACAAAAATGTACAAGTA